GTTGAACTAAGTGTTGTTGATGGTAGTCGATTTTGATTGGTGGGACAAACATACATACCTACCTACCTCGCTACATCGTCCAATACGACAGCTAAGAAGCTATTTTTTTTGAAAAAAATAGCTCAAAAATTGATCTAATGGCGCTTCCAGTGTATGTGATGTACGTACGCACCTCACAGACAATCTCTTCAAGTCACGATTCGACGTGACCCTATGACGTAATCGTCCAAATATAAATCTGCACGTCTCAGCAAGTTTCTGTTACATAAATCTGCGAGTCTGGGCAAGTTTCTGTTTTTCCTTTTCGGAAAAGAAATGTATTTCACACAAAACAAACAGGACAATATTATGACCCTGGCGAAATGTAACGTAGCCTTGATAAAAAATTTGATCTAATGGCGCTTCTAGTGTATGTGATGTACGTACGCACCTCACAGACAATCTCTTCAAGTCACGATTAGACGTGACCCTATGACGTAATCGTCCAAATATAAATCTGCACGTCTCAGCAAGTTTCTGTTTACATAAATCTGCGAGTCTGGGCAAGTTTCTGTTTTCCTTTACGGAAAAGAAATGCATTTCACACAAAACAAACAGGACAATATTATGACCCTGGCGAAATGTAACGTAGCCTTGATAAAAAAAAATTGATCTAATGGCGCTCCTAGTGTGTCCACCTAGTAGTGAGTACAATGATTTAATATTTTGACGAGTCAAACTCACCGACGTTGCGAAAAATCTGTACGCCGCTCCGATGTGTTTACGCGGTCCTAAATTAATATCTATTTGGACAGTCCAACTTTCACATAGGCTCGATTTCCGCCGCTCTCTCGATTCCGGGCTTCGTTCTTCCCGAGAAATCTTTCACAAGGCGAATACATTCATATATATTCATACTCACCCCTAGCTCTCCTCCTAGCACTTTGGCGGAGTAGAGGTATAAGAGATCGACGACAAAAAAAAAAACAGAAGCTATTTTATTAACGGGCTGGGCCCCAGGCCCACGCCCGGTTAATAAATGGCTTTCAATTGTTTTGGTGATGTTGTGGTTTCAAAACTGCGGATGCCTTCAGTTGCAAATAATTTTTGATATTTGATTACGATATTTAAAAGATAAGTAGATAACTCCACATTTCAATTGATAAACAGCTAAAGTTAGGGCAAGATTAATGAGCTGTTTTGTTATATATACTCTCAGTGTGTGGTTGAACATTTCTTGGTTGACCATGTTCTTTACTGACAAATAAATAGTCAAAGCTAATAGGCTGTTTTCAACCGGATCCTCGGTAGTATAGTGGTGAGTATCCCGCCTGTCACGCGGGAGACCGGGGTTCGATTCCCCGCCGAGGAGCTGTCATTTCTTTTCGTTCTTATCCTCCGTTGGAACTCCTCAATGTTACTACGGCAGGCGTCATTTTCATTTTTACTGAATTGGCTTTGTATAAAGTACACGACGCAATGTCCTTTGGGTCAATAAACAATATATCCTTTTACAGGACAGATTTTGGGAAGATGGAGAAGATTGAGAATAGATTTGCATTATCTCATTATCTCACACTTTGATTTAAAATTGGAGGTGTTCGTGAAGAATTACTGAACATTATCGAAGCAAAGAGGCCAAGAGAATGGTGTAAACCATTATATAGATGGTCACTGATGTGGGCATCCACAACACCAGATTAATATACTCGTAATCAGTCTGATGTTATAGATGGTGAAATCAGCCATCAAAAATTAACAAAACAAAAACAGCAAACAAACACTGCTTGACCCTTAAGGGCCAGTATCACGATAATTCTCCAATTTTTTGTGTAAACTACGCTTGAATTATGAAGGTACACTCGCTGATGCAAAAATGGCTCCTGAACAACAAGGGAAATACGAATTCATTCTCCTGAGGTGGGAACAAACCAGAATCATTGATGTTGAGCTATTTTCCCAAGAACACCGTAAAACCTGAAACCGTCGGCCCGACTATTTCAAGTTTCATTCAACTTCCTCCTCCATTTTTCTGTACTAGTGTAGTGACTTTTAGTAAGACCAAGCCACTATTAGTGGATTTCCATTGATACAAACACTTCTGAGTAGTACTAACTATTGGTGACACTGCCCCTTTATTTATATAATTTAAATACATTTTGTTAGCTAATGGACAAGTAAAGTGTTTAAGAATAGTCTACGCTGATTTAAAATTCATCTTACTAAAGATAATTCAAGCAATTGCAGCCAAACTTTGTGACTTTTCCTAAAAACTATCTGAGAACATTTTGGTGTGTCAATTGTTTGATCGCGTGAATTTGTAAACCTCAGTTATAATCATGCAGCTTTATTTTGAATGCGCACAGTATCCTGAGTATTACAAACGAAACACACTCCATAAGTAGTCTCCGTGGCGCAATCGGTTAGCGCGTTCGGCTGTTAACCGAAAGGTTGGTGGTTCAAGCCCACCCGGGGACTGATCATTTTGAGTGTATCAACATCAAATCATCACATTTTTGGGGCTGCTTTCAAGGGATATTTTATATATTTTTATCGAAAAGAGTTCAATGACGTATTCGGAAATTTCAATTTGATGTTGATCCACTCAAAATGATCCGTCCCTGGGTGGGCTTGAACCACCGACCTTTCGGTTAACAGCCGAACGCGCTAATCGATTGCGCCACGGAGACTACTTATTGAGTGTGGATACTGTGCGCATTCAAAATAAAGCTACATGATTATAAGGTTGAAAAATTCAAGTGATCAAACAATTGACACACCAAAATGTTCTCAGATAGTTTTTAGGAAAAGTCACAATGTTTGGCTACCAATTGCTTGAATTATCTTTAAGTAAGATGAATTTTAAATCAGCGCAGACACTTTATATATTCTTAAAACACTTTACTTGTCCATTAGTTAACAATGTATTTATTATAATAATAAATTATATAAATAAAGGGGCAGTGTCACCAATATTTAGTACTACTCAGAAGAGTTTGTATCAATGGAAATCCACTAATAGTGGCTTGGTCTTACTAAAAGTTACTATACTAGTACAGAAAAATGGAGGAGGAAGTTGAATGAAACTTGAAATAGTCCGGCCGACGGTTTCAAGTTTTACGGTGTTCTTATGAAAATAGCTCAACATCAATGATTCTGGTTTGTTCCCACCTCAGGAGAATGAATTCGTATTTCCCTTGTTGTCAAGAGCCATTTTTGCATCAGCGAGTGTACCTTCATAATTCAAGCGTAGTTTACACAAAAATTGGGAGAATTATCGTGATACTGGCCCTTAAGGTCAAGCAGTGTTTGTTTGCTGTTTTTGTTTTGTTAAGTTTTGATGGCTGATTTCACCATCTATAACATCAGACTGATTACGAGTATATCAATCTGGTGTTGTGGATGCCCACATCAGTGACCATCTATATAATGGTTTACACCATTCTCCTCGCCTCTTTGCTTCGATAATGTTTAGTAATTCTTCACGAACACCTCCAATTTTAAAATCCAATTGTGAGATAATGAGATAATGCAAATCTATTCTCAATCTTCTCAATCTTCCCAAAATTTGTCCTGTAAAAGGATATATTGTTTATTGACCCAAAGGACATTGCGTCGTGTACTTTATACAAAGCCAATTCAGTAAAAATGAAAATGACGCCTGCCGTGGTAACATTGAGGAGTTCCAACAGAGGATGAGAACGAAAAAAATGACACCTCCCGGCGGGGAATCGAACCCCGGTCTCCCGCGTGACAGGCGGGGATACTCACCACTATACTACCGAGGATTCGGTTGAAAACAGCCTATTAGCTTTGACTATTTATTTGTCAGTAAAGAACATGGTCAACCAAGAAATGTTCAACCACACACTGAGAGTATATATAACAAAACAGCTCATTAATCTTGCCCCTAACTTTAGCTGTTTATCAATTGAAATGTGGAGTTATCTACTTATCTTTTAAATATCGTAATCAAATATCAAAAATTATTTGCAACTGAAGGCATCCGCAGTTTTTGAAACCACAACATCACCAAAACAATTGAAAGTCATTTATTTGTCTTGAAAATGATGTTTACTTCCATTATTTCCATGCATGTTAATGGCCAGCGCATGGGAAAAATCGGCAACGCTAAGTGCCGTATAGCGGACATGATAGCAACTACGTGCCACATTATAACTGTTGGAAGTTTCGGCATTAAAATGCTTTGCACTTTCTCCTTCTTTTGTAATCCTCTTTGAAATCGCCAAAGTACGCTAGTATAGTACGTTGTATTTATAATAGTAGACAGTCTCCTTGCAAGTGAAGAAAATATATCAAATGGCGGGACTACTATGGCATGATCTGGTCATTTGCACCGAAGTTATCGATCAAACACCGATTGGTGAAAACAAAAATAGCAAAACATCAGTATTAAATTAAATATTTTTTTTCGCTTGCTACATTATCATAACATATTTGTACTCTTAAAAAATATATAATAATAATAAAATCAAATTATGTTTCCGGCAGGGACCGAACCTGCGACCTTCCGCGTGTTAGGCGGACGTGATAACCATTACACCACGGAAACGGATATAGGTAAAGGAAGGGTTTATCTCTCTGATGTCTGTTTTTTTTTTCTTCTAACTTTTTGAAACCTTTGTGCGTTCCTCGAATATTAAACGCATCATGACTCGAGGGCGATTCTGCTTATCCAATCAAATAATTTCTAAATAGCTTTGTAATTTAGCATGGTCTGCTTTTACCAGTCTCCATGGTGTAAATGACGAAGTAATTTGCAGGGCAATTTTTTTCTCGAGCATATCTATTGCGAAAGCATCAATCGCATTAAACAATACTTTTTTTGTTCCTGTTATTCATTTTAGGAGAAAAGAGATGATACTTGAGAGTATCGAGAAACATTGATCCAATTTACTAACTTTTTGTTGTTTCTTTTATGTTGTTTTGATTTTGTTTTTGTGTTAAATTTAAAAAAGAGGATGAAAAGGTAGGTACTTTAATGTTGTGCATGCAACAAGGTTTCCGTAGTATAGTGGTAATCACGTCCGCCTTACACGCGTAAGGTCGCAGGTTCGAGCCCTGCCGGAAACAATTTTGTAGGTAGTTACTACACGACTGCCTTCACATCTTACGATTGGGACTTCATTTAATTTTACTTTTGATATATTTAGATGTTGCTGACTCTGAGGAAATTACAAGTTTTTTTTATATAAATGCAGAGGCGTCAGAAGGCGCAACTTGATATTAATTTATTGAATATAAATTCCATGATTTTTCCTAAATTGACTGATGTAATTGCCGAGCTCAAGGAAGATGGAATGTAAATTTACTTTATTTCACGATATTTTGATGCAATTATTAAAAAATATATATCATTTTCACGACTTTGGCATCTATAACAATGCAAAACATTTAATTTGCACAGAGTCAGTTCCTTTCAAATCTCTCGAAAAATAAAGCTATTTTATTTTAATTCTAAGAAAACCTTCTGGGCCGGGTTGTTAAAAAAGGTGGACAACACTATCCACCGGATAAATCGCTATCCAGTGGATAAGTGTTAACAAAACAAAATGTACGCTTTCCACTGGATAGTGATTTATCCGGTGATACCGTTATCCCACCCATTAAACAACCGGGCCCTGGCGGAATGGAACTTCTAGCAATAATATCTAAAACAAATAGCGTAACTAAAAGGAATGTTACCGGCAGGGATCAAACCATTCCGCGTGTGAGGCGCACTTGATGACCACTACGCTACGGAAACCACGTTGTATTCGCTTCCACAACCTTACAGTAACTACCATTTATTAAACTTTCTTCTCCAGAAAAACAAAACTACAACAACTGAAAACAAACAAACAAACAAACAAACAAACAAAACTACGTAATGCGTAAATTGCACCAACTTTTCTCAATATGCCTGAAGGCTGTTTGAATTACGTTTTAGCATTCTCTTGGTTTTAGTAACTAGGACTACAAATTAAATAAGACATTAAAAAGAATACCTAAGAGACTCCCATTTAGAAGAACTCTATACTGATAAAATGGGCCTGTCCGGGAGTTGAACCCGGGACCTCTCGCACCCTAAGCGAGAATCATGCCACTAGACCAACAGGCCAGACATGATAAGAAGTTTAAACAAAGGTTTACTACTACTGTGATTAGCAGGTAGTATAACACCCGTACTTTGTCCGATCCGCGAGATCAGATATCACGCTAACTGGCATGGCCAACTCCATTGATTCTCTGTTTCCAGGTTTATAAAACCCTATACAGCCCCAATAACCTTTCGTTTCTCCTTTTGAAGATTGTTTGATGAACATAATGAACATCAATGGGTATAAAAGGTTATTTCTATAACATGGATGGAAAATAAATCTAAACGCAATGTTTCAACAGATCAACTGTCAAGGCTATAAGCAAATTGGTAAGTTTTTGTCTTTCTAACAAAATAATCGATCCACAAAAATAATCAGTTATTTTTCTGCCAGCATTAAATGCGCGAGAGACCGGGACTTTTGATGTATTTAGATGTTGCTAAATCTGAGGAACTGAGGGCGTCAAAATGCACAACTTGATATTCATTTTTATCTTACTGATACTTGCATCAAAATGTTTTGTTTATTTAATATAAATTCCGTGATTTGTCCAGTAAAGTGTAGTTGGCTAAGCTCAAGGAAGATGGAATGTTTAATATACTTTATTTCACACCCGCTCCTTCTGAGAATAAATTTAGTTTGTACAGTGATTCTTTTTTTATATGGATTAGAGTGTTAATATATTTCGGAGGAAGTAAATGAGTACAGTAATCCTCGGTAGTGTATTGGTAAGTATCTACGTGTCATTGCATGAAATACTTCAGTCGCTATTTTTTACAACATATAGAACATATTTTGATGCAATTATTAAAACATTATGCACCAAATATAAAATTTTATGAAGGCCAAAAACAATGATCATATAATTTTTATATGCAGAAACATTGACGTGAAATATTGGCTTCGAAAAAAAAATGGTAGTACATAACGAAATTCAAATTCCGGTAACTTCATTTTAGAGAACAATTGTTTTTCCCCAAACTTATAATACCTTCTCAACCGCCAGCAGAAAGTAATTTGGAGAGGAAGCAAATAATTTCATTTTAACCGCTTTATGTAATTCTCCGATCACGAAGAGTGGATCCATAACTTCCGCTTGAAAAAGAAAATTAAAAGAGGACATACGGCGCTCCTGAAGTGGAGATAAGACATTTCATGAGAAACTTCCTTTCCGACCATTGAGCATGCAAGTAAATTTGAATAAGCTATGAATAAAAAAAATATGGGATTTGAACCCATGACCTCCTGTTTACTAGACAGGCGCTCTAACCAACTGAGCTACGGCGACAGGTGTGAGGCAAAAGGGCGTTTCAAAATAAGCAATTGATTGATTAATGAAAGTCTTGTCACAAAATTCTACCAAAAAGAGTGCGTGAATCAGTGAAATATTCTGCAGCAGTTAAATGTTTCAATGTATCCTTTTTCTGCTTATTTGCTTTTTAGTTGTCGTACACTTTACGATAATAGGGACCTTTTAAAACACCAAGCCGACGGGTTACCGAAAGAAAAATCCGAGCACGTCCCGGAAGCAGTTCAGACCTCTCCAGCCTTCATTCAAGGCGACATCAGAATGAAGTGTTTAATATTCGAGGAAATAACGCACAAATGTTTCAAACAGTTAGAAGAAAAACAACAGACATATCAGAGAGACAAACCCTTCCTTTACCTATATCCGTTTCCGTGGTGTAGTGGTTATCACGTCCGCCTAACACGCGGAAGGTCGCAGGTTCGGTCCCTGCCGGAAACATAATTTCATTTTATTATTATTATTTTAAGACTACAAATATTTTATGATAATGTAGCAAGCGAATAAAATTATTTAATTTAATACTGAGTTTTGCTATTTTGGTTTTCACCAATCGGTATTTGATTGACAACTTTGGTGCAAATGGCCAGATCATACCCCTTTTAATTCAGAGATCTCGTACTATACTAGCGTATTTAAAATTCAACCTTGATGATTCCAAAGAGGATTAAAAAAGAAGGAGAAAGTGCAAGGCATTTTAAAGCCGAAACTTCCAACAATTATAATGTGGTAATGTGGTTTCCATGGTGTAGTTGCTATCACGGACCTTCAGATTGGGGTACGAGTACGATAACGAGTACGAGTTTCTACTTTCAAAAATATATTGTTCCCAGCGCCCTCGCTCTGCCCTGTGACTGACCAGTAGAAGTGTAGGTTCTGGAAGGAGATTGGCGTGACACGTGATGATCTTGAGGATGAGCAATAGGTTTAAAAAGTCGTACTCGTACTCGTTCTCGCACTCGTACCCCAATTGAAGGTCAGTATTATGTACGCTATTCGGTACATAGCGTTGCCGATTTTTTTTCCATGCGCTGACCATTTGCATGCATGGAAATAATAGAAGTAAACATCATTTTAAAGACAAATAAATGACTTTCAATTGTTTTGGGGATGTTGTGGTTTCAACTACTGCGGATGCCTTCAGTTGCAGATATTTTTTTGAGACTGATTTGATTACGATATTTAAAAGACATTTCAATTGCTATAAACAGCTAAAGTTAGGGGAAGATTAATTAGTTGTTTTGTTATATATACTCTGAGTGTGTGGTTGAACATTTCTTGGTTGACCATGTCCTTCACTAACAAATGAATAGTCAAAGCTAATGGGCTATTATCAACCGAATCCTCAGTAGTATAGTGGTGAGTATCCAGATTTGAAGCGATTGAGTGAAAATTAATTATTCTCTCCGAAACGCACTGCGCGCAGGCTGAAAACGACGTTTTGGACAGATTCGAAGCGATTGAGCGCAAATTCACTATTTTGACCCAAACTTGCCAGAATCCTCGGTAGTATAGTGGTGAGTATCCCCGCCATTCAATCAGTATAGTGGTGAGTATCCCCGCCTGTCACGCGGGAGACTGGGGTTCGATTCCCCGCCGGGGAGGTGTATTTTTTTTTTCTTTCTTATCTTCTGTTGGAACTCCTCAATGTTACTACGGCAGGCGTTATTTTCATTTTTACTGAATTGGCTTTGTATAAAGTACACGACGCAATGTCCTTTGGGTCAGGACAAATTTTGGAAGATTGAGAAGATTGAGAATAGTTTTGCATTATCTCATTCAGTGTGAACTATTTTCAGCGTGATATTTCTCACGAGTATCCATTGCGCCATATTGACACACCGTCGTAGTAAACACGAAACAACAATATAGCGATATTTCTCGTTACGTCACCTATTGTTATTAATGTGCCAACGAGAGAACTACATGTATTGGCTGTTGAAACAAAGAGTTATTTTGTTTAATGGTTTGCAAATTTGAATAACAAAACAAATTTGACGTAATGTTTGTATACAGTGAACACTGCTATTAGGCTGTGTCACAATCCCGCAACAGGTAACTTCGCATATTTTTAATCAATTTTAATAATTACGCCAGCGGGTTCTGCGACTGCGCATGCATTCCGCGACATCCCGGCCGTGTCGAGGGCGATTCTGCTTATTCAATCAAATAATTTCTAAATAGCTTTGTAATTTAGCATGCTCTACTTTTACCAGTATCCTTTGTGTAAATGACGAGGTAATTTGCAGGGCAATTTTTTTCTCGAGCATATCTATTGCGAAAGCATGTCATGTTAACAGAACATGTTAAAGAGGTTCAATCGAATTAAACAATACTATTTTTTTGCTGTTATTCATTTTAGGAGAAAGGAGATGATACTTGAGAGTATTGAGAAACATTGATCCAATTTACTGAATTTTTGTTTGTTTCTTTTATGTTGTTTTGATTTTGTTTTGTTTTGTATATTCAATCAAAGAAGATGATAAAAAGGTACGTACTTTAATGCTGTGCATCCAATTACATCAAGGTTTCCGTAGTGTAGTGGTTATCACGTCCGCCTCACACGCGGAAGGTCGCAGGTTCGGTCCCTGCCGGAAACTTTTTTTATATATGAATACTGTTATGGCATATAAGTTTATTTTGTTGTTCCGCCATCTTGAAACTTCGTGATGAATTTTTATATCAACCTATGGATCTGATCCTCCATGTACACTTTTTAGTTGTTGGTGCCTTATCATTCTAACAGAGTTAAAATATATCAGAAATGCAGAGCAGATGCAAATCTCAGCTCTTATTTTATGCAACAAAGCTGACCGTGGAATGTATTAATTTTTTAAATGATCCCAAAAATTAAGGCCACGATCTGTAATGGCCATCTACAGTCGCTTTTCGAATATTTGGCTTCTTGATCGAAATTCTGCTATAAGTAGTGGGTCTAATAAAACACACTATATTCTTTGTTACAGGGGAAATGTTAATGCATAGACGTCGTTTTATAAACGGCGTGTGTAAGGCTGGTTTTCACAAGCGACATAGGCATAAACACAAGCAGAACCTACGCAGACTGACGCAGTAATGCACGGTGTTGATCATTAGTGCCATTTTTAGAACAAATACTGTGATCAAGTGAACACGTTACTGCGTCTGCGCATGTTCCTTGTTTTTATGCTTATGTCGCTAGTGAAAACCAGCCGGCTTAACAGATCAGATCTCTCCCGAATTCAAACTGAATTGTATTCCTATGTAACAGCATTGATCCTGATGTACTGTATGCCGATCAACTGTTGCTTTAATTTATTTTTCAAACAATTGTGTTTGAGAAATGAAAATATTTGATATTTGATGTTCAGTTATAATTTAGTTTAGTTTAATTTCAATAGGTAATGCCATGCATGTATTCATATGGAAATACTTTAATAAATTGTCGTCGTCGTTGTTGTTGTTGTTAATTGTTAACCGAACGTTTGGTGGTAAGTTCACCCGAATCTCGATATCAATGTAACATAATTGCTTTTCACTCTAGAACTTTATGGAAGACAATTTAAATATGGACTAGATTAGGACAAATTAGCAAAACGCGATAAACATGGATAAAAAGTGTTAATATCTAATTGTCCAATACCATGTGATTAATCTTTAATCTCTCCCGAAACAAACTGGTATCAGTGATAGTTTTTATATCTATTTTAGAGCAGATAACTGCGTGAAAGGCCTGTTGGTCTAGTGGCATGATTCTCGCTTTGGGTGCGAGAGAGGTCCCGGGTTCGACTCCCGGACAGGCCCAGCTGGGTTATTTATTTTTTTAATATTTTGGGAAGCTTTAATATTGTTTTAAAATAAACTTTTATTAATCAAGAGTTAATGTTCCCTCTTCAAAACTATAAACCCAACTCGGCTTCTTATGAACATTGTGAAGGCATTGTTATAATAGATATCCCGAGGCAACCGTGTTCAAAATGCAAGACATGGTAGTGGATGTTTAAAGCTAGTGGCAATTCCCTTGTTCATTTATCATTTTTTTTTACTACATGTAGTTAGGACGCTTTTCTTTTTATCCCAATGGCCAAGAAAGTAATGCATTTAAAAACACACGCAAGGTCATGTTTTATTAGAAGGATCCTTTTACGTGCATAAATCTTACAATCATTGGTACAAAAAAGACTGTGGGATTTTTCTTTTAGTGAAGCAAAAAGTAACGTCCCCGGGTGGGCTTGAACCACCAACCTTTCGGTTAACAGCCGAACGCGCTAACCGATTGCGCCACGGAGACTACTTATGGAGTGCGTTTCGTTTGTAATACTCAGGATACTGTGCGCATTCAAAATAAAGCTGCATGATTATAAGGTTGACAAATTAACGTGACCAAACAATTGACACACCAAAATGTTCCCAGATAGTTTTTAGGAAAAGTCACAACGTTTGGCTACAATTGCTTGAATTCTCTTTAAAGTGCCCCTACGATCAAATTGTTGATATTCATTTTTTTACATTTTCGTGTTACATTGCATGTCTTGCCAAATTTCAATCCATCACGAACATGAGAAGTCATTGTTTTTGGACTTTTATTTCCGAGAATTTACGGCCGCCATTACTTGACCTTGTTCCAAGACTTGGTTGCGAATTAAATTATAATAACAATAAGTATAGAAAATTGCATGAAGAGCAACAAAAACTTTAGACTTTTTCTTCGTGCGATTTTCCATACTTGTTGTTATTATAATTTCAACCCGTGAGATATTTTTGAGCATCTGACGTCATTTTCTCTAATTCGCAACCAAGCCTTGGAATAAGGTCAAGTAATGGTGTAATTTACCAAAAAGTGGGAGAATTATCTTGATACTGCCCCTTTAAGGGTCAAGCAGTGTTTGTTTGCTGTTTTTTGTTTGTTTGTTTGTGATGGCTGATTTCACCATCTATAACATCAGACCGAACAAGATTACGAGTATATCAATCTGGTGTTGTGGATGTCCACATCAGTGACCATCTAATGGTTTACACCATTCTACTAGCCTCTTTGCCTCGATAATGTTTTAACAAATCTTGAAGAACTTTGAGATAATGAGATAATGAGATAATGCAAAACTATTCTCAATCTTCTCAATCTTCCCAAAATTTGTCCTGTAAAAGGATATTCGGTTTATTGACCCAAAGGACATTGCGTCGTGTACTTTATACAAAGCCAATTGAGTAAAAATGAAAATAACGCCTTGAGGAGTCAGTCCAACCATATGGTACAACAAGATAAGAACGAAAAAAAAATGACACCTCCCCGGCGGGGAATCGAACCACGGTCTCCCGCGTGACAGGCGGGGATACTGACCACTATACTACCGAGGACTCGGTTGATAATAGGCCATTAGCTTTGACTATTTATTTTTTGGTAAAGGACATGGCCAAGAAATGTTCAACCACACACTGGTGTTATTTCTGTCGAATGAGCTTGCGAAGAAGACTGAAATAAATATTTTGTCGGCACGAAACACAACATGGCCTGGGTTCCAGGCCGGGGAATCATGGGTAGTTACGTAGGCGTATATAAGGTTGGGTATAGCACGTGATGGTCATCTAGGCCTCGGAACCAACCGAGTTAGTCTCGCTTAATTTTTTCTTATACTCGTTTCCGCCTTCTACCAACTCCATGATGGCGGTTAGCAAGGACGATGTGTGCGAACAACGAGAAGTTAATGGGTTCCTTCAAAGATCTCCTCAAAGAAACCGTCGGCCAAATAAAGCGCGCCAACGAAGATTCCGCGGAATTGCAAATGAAGGAGATTAAGAAGCTTAAATTCTACGAGCTCCACTTTTAATGCTTTAATGAAGTACTCCTAAAAAAACAGCTTACGCTATACTAGGAGGTGTAGTTAACTATAAACTCTAGCTAAACTCTATGTACAATTTACTTAAAATATTTAAAATATTTACTTAAAATGTTAACAGCAAGTAATAAATAAAAGTAAATAAATAACTCGATTAATCAATACACAATTCGGTAAGTGATATACTGAGTCATTGGAAATAAGTGATCGATCAAAAGTAATAGTAATAAATAGTTAGTCGGTTTAGAGTATTCGTACATGTATAATACATATATACGATGTCCTTGTTAAAAAGTCAGTGGGACCTGACAGAGGACATAGCTGCTTCCTTAAAGGCACTAACACTAGTAGTAGTGTAGTTAGTAAAGGGGACATAGTTCCAAGTAACTATAGTTCTTGGGTAGAATGAGAACTTATATGTATTGGTGTTAGTCTGGATGTGATTAAAGGGATGGGAGTTAGGCAATCTGGATGTTTGTCGTCGAAATAAGGGGGAGACTTCTGGTGGAAAATTTAGTCCCACCAGACCCTGATTGATTTTATAGAACATAGTTAGTTGAGCCAGCAGTCTTCTATGTTCCAAGGTGTCCCAACCTAGTTGTTGGATCATTGGCGTGACATGACTAGTTCTGGAGTAGTCATTATGAACAAATCTTGCAGCCCTGTGTTGAACCATTTCGATTTTGTTGATGTTTCTTTTAGTGTGAGGGTTCCATGCTGACGAGGAGTACTCAAGTTGAGGTCGTACAAGGGCGTTGTATGCTTTAGATTTGACTTCGGGGGTACATTCA